CATGGGAAGGATTCTTATTAATTCCAAAATCTTATTTCAGATTTATCTGAACCCTTAGTCTGTTTGTAAGTTTCTGAAATCAAAGTTTTAATCATCCTTTTTCTATTTACTCCCTCCTTTCATTTTTTAAAAGTTCTTAAACTTGTATTTAAAACTTGTTTTACTAAGGATTGAAGGAAACTCTCGTGGTGCTATAAAAAGGATTTAACAAGCAATTTCAGAAAATGGTTAGAAAAGAAGGCATGGAAGGCATGGAAGGCATGTCCTTTACAAGTGCATACTGTGATTTGAGCAAGATGGTTATTTCCTTGTCTCCCAAAACTCTTAAACTCATCAGAAACCTCTGTCTTTCAGTCTCCTCACAAAGAGCAGTTATCTGGAGCACTTGTGGGTGATCTCAAGTCCTCTCCTTATTTGCAGGGGAATTACCAAAGACCTGGTTTGTTTGCCAGTTCTTTGTTCCACCACAGTCATAGTCTCTGCTTTTCGCAGATCTTTCTTCACACTGCCATTTCTTCCCTAGAAGTTGACCTAAGGCCATTTATGTTCTATAAAATATAAGGAGATCCTCTGAGAACCAAGTTAGCAAATGCCCTGGGTCCTAGTTCTGAATTTTTATTAGAGTAAAGAATACAGATGTGTATAAGAGAGAAAAATGGCTTGCACCATGAATATTTTTAACATAAAAAATAAGTATGAAAATATTTTAAATAAATAATCACTCCTTCCAATATCTTTTTTCCCAGTTCAGCCAAGCTTTACACTAGAGCTGAGGCCCCTAATGTGTGTATATGTGTGTGTTTGTGTGCATTTCTTTTAGGGCTTGTGAGGCTTCCTGTTCCTCTTGTTTTGAAGGAAGTTTGGGGGGGAAAAGGAGAAAAAATACTGCTGCAGAACTAGAAGGAATAATAGAGGGGTAATGAAGGAAAGTGGTATCTAATATTTTGCCTTTCGGGGAATGTTTTTGTTTAAACAACAAAATTAATATACTTGTTTTGATAAGGAACTTTTCACTGATTGTAAGTATGTGTTATGGAAGGTTGCTTGAGTTTTGCATATGTGTATGATATATGTATTGCAGTCTGTTTTTGAAGGATTAGCTACGTGGAAACATCCTACATTAGAGAGAGAACTAGCAGGGGAGGAATTTGCTGTGCAGGTAGAGGCTTCCTATGAATCCTCCCAGATCTGAATTGTATCATAGCTTATATGAATGAAACACACTCTTTTCTCAGGAATGAAGGCAAATATAAGTGTCCCAGGATAATGTTGCAGGATCCAATCTGGGTTGGTCACCGATCCAGATTAGATCCTGCAGCACTCTTTCTATTGATACTTACTTTTCCCTTCATCTACTTTCTCATGCAATTTTAATTACTGTATATATAATTAGAGCAACATGCCAAATTAAGGCTTTCATATGTTCTGGAATAAGAATGAAATAGAAATTCATAACTTATAATTATTCCAAATCTCCAGCCTTTGATTTCAGATAGACAGTATTATTGAATTTATGTTGAAAATTCCCACAAGTACTTCCTCCAAAGAACATATTGATATCATTGTCAAGACATTGCACCCCCACTTTGTAGCCTATATTAAAGAAGACCAGTTTGATGTAGAAATTAAGGCACCAAGCTAGAAATGAAGAGAGCCTTGAGTTTTGTCTCTATGCACAAAAGCCACCTTGGTGACCTTGGGCCAGTCACTATCTCTCTGCCCTTTCACTTTTTCTTTCTAATTTTTTCTTATTTTTTAGTGTATATTGGATTTTATTATTGTAATTAAAACCCTTAATAAAGTTGTATGGGGGAAAAGGATACTTACTTTCAGCTGCATATGTTTATGCCTAATAACAAACTAATTTACAGGGAGGTGACAAAAGATGGGTTTTAAGAAGGATTTGAAAAACAATGATGGTCCATTGACCATCATCCAATCCAAAGGTCTCCCAAAGGTCAGGTGGCATCACGTCTGGCAGCGTCATTCATCAGGAATGTAGGGCAGTTGGTCAGCCGGCCCCTTTGGAGATTCACTTTCGTTTCTTGGAAAGACACCTCCTGCAATGGAAAAACACCACCTGCAATCTTCCCCCCCTTCGCCCCCTTAACTGGTCCCTCCCCCCCGTTTCTTATGGCAGCTGAAGCAGGCAAAGCTGAGGCTGACATTATGCCATTATATAGGATTATAACATTTGTGTTTTAACTTTTCACTGTTTTCCTTTATTTCCAGTTTATTTCCTCTTGTGTAAATTAGGCCAGTTGTCACTAAAGAATTTCCGTCTGTCAACCAACTAAATGAAAACTTGGGAAACATTATGTATGACATAAAATTAATAACTTTGGGAATTTATATATTAGTTATCAATTTAATTTAGTACACTCCTGATTACAGGAGTCTCTTGAGGAAGATACTTCTTTGAAATCTGTTGTACAGTTGAAGATGTAATATATTTTCTTTCCAGCACAGTGTGATTAGGTTCAGTGAAGCTGGTTTTTCAAAACTAGTTTTGATTAGGTTAAATCCAGAATTTTTACTGAGAGGAAAAGAGCAAAAAATCCAGCTTTTTTTAGTTTGATGGTCCTCTAACCTAACCCAAGTATTTTTGGTATTCTCTTGCACTTATTGCCCTCTTTCTCTTGACACTCTTCTTCCAACCTGTTGCCCTCACTCAGGCCTAAGGTGTTTCCTAAGCTTTTCAGCAGGGACTCTCTTTAATAACATTCAAACTTCTAAGACTCTGTATAGCTAAGGAAATTTTGGAAGTAAGACAGTGTGGGCTTCTTTCTCTTTTTCAGTCTTGATTTTAAGAATTTTATTTTTTTAATCCTAGTGGCAAGACTATCAAATGAAGTTAAGAGGGTTTAATATTCAATAGTTCCCCTGCATTTTGGAAATTAAAGCTATGTACAGTATTATGCATGGTTTTCTTCAAAACATCCTTGGGAGTTTTTACCATTTCTTTAGATTTACTTTGCTGTTGTTTGTTTAACTCCCTTCAAAAGTTGTGTAGACAGAAATTTAACTTTCTGTCTACACATATGTCTATATATTAAAACAATATCCCAAAGATAAATAGATACATGATAGGTAGGCAGGCAAGTTGATCAGTGACACCCAGTGTTTCACTTGTTGGAAGAAATATCCATCTGGTTCAGTTCCAAGTTGGGAGAAAGACACTGGAAACATGGAGGCTGATTGGAAAGATGGTTTAATGATGAACAGAACCACTAAGCATGTGTGATTCTGGGTAGCTGACCACATGGAGTTGAGAGTGAGGGGCTTTTATACTTTCTCTTGGGTGTTGCACTTGAACTTCCTGTTCCTGTGCAAGAACATGTATTGAACATCTATTGGCTGTTGTCAGGTTCCTATGTTTGTCTGAGCTCCCAGACTTGGTTGAAGTTTGCTGGGTGATGCAATGTCCTCAGGAGATTGTGCAATGCAGTGAGCTCTGTATCGTCTGCTAAATGGTCCTATTATATCCTTAAAGGCCATGTCTTAATCCCATCACCTTGGTGCTGAAGGTCTTTTGTCTTGTAGATAAGCTGGCCCAGTCCTGCTGGGGCTATTAATAAAGGTGGTGGCTGCTTTCCAAGAGCATTTTTCTCCTTTAGGGAAATATAATATTCTGCCTTTTTTAATATTTCCCAAAATATTTCATTCTCCTAGGAGTGGGGTGGGTGCTAACTTTGTACACACTGAATGAAGGAGACTTAAGATAATATCAATATAAAATAACGCCTTTTGAGTGAATTTCTGAAAAAATGTAGATCAGCCTTCTGATATCTGAAAAACTTGGAGTATAACTCATAAGATGAAGTTAGACCATGTTAAAAAGAAGTAAAAGCAGGTGGCAGCTCTGGTTAGGAGGGCCCATGCACCTTTGGATGGTATACCAGTTGTAGCATTCCTGGCCTGGGAGGCTCTGCTCACAGTAACCTGTGCCCCTGTAACCTCTCAATTGGACTACTGCTGTATATGGGGCTGCCTTTGAAAAATATATGGAGGTTCATCTGATATATAGTAAATGGTATTGGATATGCAGCATATTTAATAATGGTACTGGTACTGCATTGGTTACCTATGTGTTTCCAGGTGCAATTCAAGATTCTGGTTGTCACCTTTAAAGACCTACATGGCTTTGGGACAGAGTTAACTAAGAGGCTGTTTTATCTCAACAATTTCTACCCATCCAATTTGGTCCAGCAGATTGGGTATGTTGTGGATCCTGTTAGCCAAGGAATGTCATCTTGCAGGGACAGTGAGACATGTCTTCTCTACTGTAGTTCTTGCCCCTTGGAATATTGTTTTTCAGAGATTAGGAAGGCCTCAACCCTGTTGTCCTGTTGTAAGACCTTAAAAACTTGTGCCTATGTACCCAGACCTAGGCTCCCATATATATTAAGAGCCTTCTTCCTTGACTGTAGTGGCAATTATTATGATTCTTTTCTTGGCTGCTGTATATATTTTTGTATTAAGTGTTTTCATTGTTTTAGATTTCTTTGCCACCCAGAGTTCCTGAGTTGAGATGGGTGGAGGGAAGGAGGGAGGGAGGGAGGGAGGGAGAAAGGAAAAGGAAGGAAGGAAGGAAGGAAGGAAGGAAGGAAGGAAGGAAGGAAAGAAAGAAAGAAAGAAAGAAAGAAAGAAAGAAAGAAAGAAAGAAAGAAGGAAAAAATAAATATAAAATTTGGATGATTTCTCATCCAAGACATGGCCTTCGTCAGATTTTCTTTAATGGGTTCCCTGTATGTGTGATGTCAAAAAATAATCCCTTTTATTCATTGAGCTGCGTCCAAGTAAGTCATTTGAATAGCCAGGTAACTAACATACGGAAACTCGGGTCTGAAGAGTGACAGATAATTTGGTGCAAGGCAGCTCCTTTATGAGGTCTTACAATTAGCAATTAAAGCATAAAAAATAGTTCCAGGCAACAACTGCTAAATAAACGCTTGTCATTGCTGCTGACAAGGGCTTCTTTATTTCTCTCTGTGTTTCAGCCTCTCTATATAACTTACGGTGCTGTAAATGCACAGCAGCTGTTAATATGATTCTGTCGATACATTTACCATGGTGATTTGGCAGTATTTGGCGACTGTGAAGAAATCACTCATGGGCTGGAAAGGAAGAACGACAAGCTGTCAATATCTCAGAAGAAATGCTAATAACCTTGGTGACAAATTGTCTCAGGAAGTCTCAAAGGGTTAAAAAAGAGCATTTCCAGAGGCCAAGATTGTTGCATTTCCCCAGGTGACAGAAGCTCTTCTGAAGTAACCCTGTTATACCAACAGCTTGCCTACTTTAGTTGTGAGTGCATTTGCATTGAGCTCTCAAAATATGTTGGTTTGTGAATTAAATAGGAAATTTATCCTCATATTTGTATTCTCACTTCTACCACTACAACCTTCTGTACTTTAACTCATACCATTTAGGTCTGTCTATCTGCTTTCAAAAAGGCTTTTCAGAGGACTCCAATTGGAAGGAAAAGTCCCTTCCTGGGATAGTCGTACAGTTTATGGAACTGAAAACCCTGTTTTCATGCAGCATTCATATTGGTCCTAGGTTAGATCTCATCCTTGTAATGAATTAACACCTTCACAGTAACATAAAAGGAATTTTGTAAAAATAGTTTAGCAGTTGTGTTGCCTGAGATTGCTGATGAGTGATTCTTCACTGGTAGAAACTCTTGCCTTTTCCTGGTTCTTTGTTCTACTCACTCCCAGCTGATGTGCAGGCCCCTAGATGCCACATCATCATTTCTCTAAACAAGAAGAGAGACAGCATTCACAGCCAGATTTTGCTGAAATGACAGACAAAATTAATATGAGAACATGACATGGCTGGATGACAATTTTTGTGCTCTCCTGTTGGTCAGCTGGAAGGAGTTTTCATTGACTTAGTCATGAATGTCTTCAGTTTGAAAATTATGGTGGGGACAGTATTGGTTTGTGAGGATGAGGAAAATGCAGTTGGTGACTATATGAAAATGCGCTCAATATACAAGCTTTGTTGTGCAGTGGATATTTTACACTATTGATCCCCAGAACTGATTTTGATACTCCCCCCCCCCAGTATGAACCATCCCTGAATTCAGCAAATTTAAACAAAAGTCTTTCTGATTATCTCTTTTCACACAGTACCATCATAAGCTAGGATTTTCCTTTTGTTCAAGATTTCAGAATAACTTCTCTTGGAGCACAATATCAAATTAGATTGCTTCCTTTGGCATCTTAATTGTGCTTATAAAAATAAATCTGCATCAATTTCTCATTTTTAAAGCTTGATCAGGGGATTAAGAGACATAATAAATTGACCTTAGTTTCAAATGAAAATATTATAAATTCTTGGTTGCTGCATTATTGTGCTTCATGGTAGATCCATCTGGCCCCCAGTTCTATATTTCAAGGATTTTAGGATAGTGGACAGGTTTTTAATAAAAACAAGAAAGTAACAACTTCTTTCTTGTTCAGAATAGAATGAATTTCTTTGGATGTTTGGTAACTCTAAAACACCTCAAGTGAGAGAGGAGACTGCCATAGCCTTTTCCAGTTGTTTGCCACTGCAAATATATGGTCCCATGTTCATGTTGTCTTGTTCCCCAGCTAACTGTTGGCATAGATACCAAATAAAATCTTCATTGAAAATCTAGGCTCATTTAGTGGTATGCAGAAAATGAAGAGGCACAGTTCAGAACGTGGATAGTTCATATAGGTAGTAGTGGGTAGTTCATATGAGTAGTAGTTTTTCTAAGGCAGTATTATGGAAAACTTAAGAGCACTTCTATATCACCAGTATTTCTGTTCCCCAAACCCTCCAAAGCAGTTCAAAGACAACTACCAATCACCTTCACCTCTGACAGCCTTGAAATGTTAACAGTATTCAGAAAACATAATAAACCAACCTTCTTTCTCCTCTAATCAGTAGGAGAATGGAAGGAAAGTTGTTTCAGGCCTTACTTTACAGTTTTTATGGATTGTATCAAAAAATCCCCTCATACCATTCAATGGCAAAAGAATGGACTCCAATCCCAATCCTTGTTGCTTGATTTGAAACTCTGTTATGAAAGATCATTTGTAAACATCTAAGCTGTCAAGGCACCATTGATCAGCTGCATTCAAAAGCCTACAAAGGTGAAATAATATAATGGTGGAAAGAAGAATCCAGAAGTGGTAGGTAGAATGAAGAGGTCCCATCATTGGCTGCCCACAAGTTGTGCAGAACCACAGTGTTACAAAGAAAATACCAGTTTCATTCCAATTTCAAATAAACTGCATCAAAGCCAGAAAGCAAACGTACTTCACTTTCAAAACTATCAGATCATCATGCAATTATGTTAGGAACTAATTCCAAACTAGGACAAATATCTAATGTAGAATGTGCCTTGTATATGTCAAAATATTTGGGTAAATTTCAAATGTAGGTCACCTTTGATCTGTGATTTTTGGACCCTTAATATTTATTTAAAATTATTTAAAGGGCAACTTGCAAGTATGATTCTAGAAGGCTAATAAAATTTAAAATATCAGTGTAAAATAATTATAGATAATACAATGAAAACCAAAACATACAAAAAATAACAACAAAGGAAATCGGTCAACACATAATGGGTTCACCTCACTTCTCTCATACTCAAGAAAGCTCCCAAGTCTTAAGGACATCTCAAAATGCCAGCAGAGATTTACCTAAATTCAGGGGATGGTGTGTTCCATAGGGCAGGATTGTCACAGAAATGTCATAAATGCAAGATGACATTCTCTAATCAATGGAAATCAGAGTATGCTGCTTCTGTTGGATCTGATGTGAAGGAGAGAAGTAGTCCCTCAGATAATTCGCACTCATACCATGAGGACTTTAAAGATAAATTGCAAGTTGAATCGCAGCTGAAATTTTGGAAGCCATTGCAGGTTGTGGACGAAAGGTGAAACATGGGCATATTGATATACACAAACAGAGACACGTGCACGAAGGCATATATCACAGCCCAGATCCTATAACATCTCTCCTGGGAATCCTTAGCTTGGAGGCACATGGATCTAAAACCAAGATGGCTGAGCTCACAGCCTTCAGCCCGTAAGACTTGCATTGTAAGAACTTTAGGACTTGCCTTTCTAGAAGCTATTCTGTGCTAATGGTATATGTGACATGATGCTGTTTCCTTTAATGATTTGATCTGATAGTTTTGAACATAGGAACTTTTAATGAATGATGTATTTCTTACTACCCCGAAAATAAGACACTTGTCTTATATTATTTTGAACCCTGAAATAAGTGCTTGGCCTTATTGCCATGCCCTCAAAAGCCTGATTGGGCTTATCATCAGGGGATGTCTTATTTTGGGGAAAACAGGGTATGATTTTGGTGTGCAAACACATTCCTTTTCTATCTAAAGGAACTTCTAAGGGCTGCAACCTACCAGGTAGGTTGCAGTCTTACCTAGGTTTATTGATGTATTCATAGTTCTATTAGCATTTTAGCATTTTTATAGTCCTGGTGATAAACAGATTAATAACGGTGCCCTCTGGGCATAGCTGCCATTTACATTTAGTTGTTAATGAGTTTCTCATAAAGAAAAGTATCTTTAGATGACATCATGTGATAGAATGATGCCAAAATAGTTGTACACTCTGCAGGCAAAGACCAGGAGAAACTGCTAGACACAGTGCAAGAACATTGTCTAAAGAAGGGGTTGGAAGGATCATACTTTGCCAGTTATAATTTACGTCTATGAGCTTGGGCTCTGCTAGCAGCTATAAAGATTCAAATCATAAAGTTTTACAGTGGAATGGTTTCTGTAAAGCATCATTACAAAATGGGAAATGTGCCTTTAATTCTTATGACATATGAGGCTGTCTGCTTCGTTTTTGGTTTCAGCACTGTTTAGTGAGTTCATTGGGTGATGTCAGGTGTTTCGTTTCTCTTTCTTTCTATTCACCAAGTTCTATTAAGGGTATAGTAAAGCTATCCAATCCCAGTACTGATTTGCTAGAGCCAGCCTTCTACAGTCTCATTTCCTCCAAATGTATTAGAATATACTGTAGCTCCTAGAATTCCCAACCAAGTATATTTTTGGACTATTCTCTGTAAGGTTATATTTTATTTCAATAATACAATGCTGCTATGAAGTGCCAGAGTACCTGCCTGATACTCATTAAAGAAGCCTGACTTTTTCAGGAGCCTGGAAAAAAAAAAACAGCTGTTCAAACGTATTGATTCATTAAAGCTAATGTATCTCTTAAAGCAGCTAGGCTTTTTTCAGAAACATGACAAAAGTTGGACTACTTTAATGAATAGCAGAGAGGTGGTGTGCTAGTGTGAGATCTGAAGCCCTACTGTCTAAATATTTTTGAAGTATGCACAGTTGTAATGTTCAACAGCCAATACTCAAGAGTTACTTTCAGTTGGAAAATTAAAATGTGACAGGACATATTATATACGATAAAACTATGCTGGAATAAAACGTGAGGTGGCACACATAGAAGCTAGGAGTACATTGTAGACCTACCTTGTTCCATGATATGGTAAACTTATGCTTGAATATTTAGATTCAGTTTTGTTTGAGTTATATTCTTATAGTGCTGCTTGGTTCCTACATTGAATCTCACCTTGAACCACGGGTGAAATGCTCCCGGTTCGGACTGGATTGGCCAACCCGGTAGCGATGGCGGCGGGTGGTTCAGAGAACCGGTAGCAAAAATCCCTGCCCCCGCCATGCCCAGCTGAGCTGCGCAATGATCAGAGGCTTTTAAAATTATTTTTAAAAGCATTTTTTCTACAACCTCTTCGGCCGAAAAAATGCTTTTAAAAGTAAAAAAAAAAAGCCTCTGATGATCGCGCGGCTCAGCTGGGATCCTCAGAGGCTTTTAAAAGCATTTTTTCTACAACCTCTTCGGCCAAAGAGGTTGTAGAAAAAATTGTTTTAAAAGTTAAAAAAAAAAAAAGTTGGCTGTGCCCATTCAGTCACATTACCCCCCACCAAGCCACGCCCACAGAACTGGTAGTAACAAATTTTACATTTCACCACTGCCTTGAACTCTTTAGTAGTTTCATATAGTACATATATGAACCAATTATTTGATTTCAGCTGTTCATTTATCTTTATTTTATGAAGTTTTTCATTTTCACAGGGACACAA